GCAAGCTATACACTGTAGTACAGTCTTTAGGACAAGAAAAGTGAAGAATTTTTAATGCCAAATTCATAGGGTTTCCAGAGAATTTTCATGGTACTTGCATATTCCTAACAACCCCATGAAAACTAACTGGCAATTAACTTTCATGTGCCATGAAAAAACCATGTAGAGGCCATGAAAATTCAAGGAAAATTTTAATGGTCAATGAATTTTTTACATATTCACAGGATATTCATGGGTCATGATTTGCTACAACCCATTAAAAACTAGTGAACTTTGACACCATGAAATTTTGGGCTTGAAATTCATGGGTTTCTCAGTACCTTTGAAAAGGCCATGAAATGCCATTTTCATGGGTATTTCATGGCTTCTAGGTCACTTAACTCAATATTTCATGGGTCACGAATATGGAAATTTTCACAGGTTTTTCATGGGATTTTTCAAGTCTTTTTCATGGCACTGAGACCATGAAAATGTCATTGATTTAAACATGAAAATCCTGTGAAAAATCTGTGAATTTACAATGAATTATTTCACAAGATTTTCATGGGTTTTGAGTTCATAGTGGATGCTTCCCTCATCTGACACTAAAGAAAAGAGTCATTTATAAATTTTCCTTTACAGCCTTTACAAGCCCTCACAAGATTGCTTTTACGGGACCATGACACTGTCATGCAACACCCCTGACAGGTATAATTTTGTGGATTCAATTTTAAACCCTTTTTGTTGGTTAGTTGAGTCACTATTAATATGGTACTCACCGAAATTGACGGCGGGAATACTATTGTCTTGTGTGCAGACATCACCAAGCATGTACATGAGATTTGGAATTACTTTCTTCCAGTTATCTTCTATTACAGTGAAATCACTGACCGGTACATTTGCCTTGGACAAAGCCCTTGACACATCCTCTCTGAACTAAGAAAAAAAAATTGCAAAAGACACATTCTTTATCACAATTTTCTAACACAAGACAAATGCAAAAGTTGTGTTCAAAGATACACTTCCTCCGCACTTAACTTGTCAGGTGCTTAATCCATTAGTGAAAGATATAAAAAATTTTTCATTGTAAATCTTTACAGTATGGTATAGTAGCTAGTTGATAATCGAATCACAAAATTGAAAAAATGTATTTTTATTGTTATTGTATCTTTAAGAATCCTGTTGTAGCTACTGTATAATTATTTTCCTAGCACTTATAGTACAGACAAAAATGTTGAAGCTTATACATACATAGATTTCTTTGCCAAGGATGGGCCAATCTTTCAATAACTTGCAAACACGAGTTTTTTCCATCTGAGACTTGGAGAAGCTGCTGATGGCGAGTGCCAAAAGTGACTGAAAGAAGATTCTGCAGTACAGTGGCATCTTGATTTCTACTTTTACTTTGTTCTTCCTTCAACCTCTTTATGTTTCTTTCCATTGCAGCAGGATCTGAATCCACATTTTCTTCTAAATAAATAAAACAAGGACAAAATATTTGTATAATGATATTTGTTTAATTTCATCTGGAACACATTGTGTATATTGAGAACACCTGGAAAGTGATCACATATCTCCATGGAAGCTGTTACACTGAATTAGGCGAAAAATTACGTGGCTTACAGGCCATACACAGTCAGGGTAATAACAATCTTGCAACTAAGCTAGATAGTAACAGGAGTGTTTTGCAACCAATACTTAACGAGAATGGCGTACTTAGTATATGACGGCTTTAGGATGAAAGCTTAAAGTTTATTCTTACCAGTTACACTCTCAATTCACTTTCTCTCAATAACTTTAAGGTCTCAAAAGCTAATAACACATGCCCCACTTATCATATTCACAGCTGCTGTCATGTACCTTCAGTCTTTTTCTTCTTCTTTGCTTTCTGCTCCAAAAAATCTGGACTCCTTTTATTTTCCCGATACCGCCAGTTTTCAAACTCCTTCATTAAGCCCTTTTTTAGAGAATGCTGGTACATTTGAAGAAAAAAAAGTTGAATTAGCAGAACATAAACAAAGCTAACCAAATCCACCAGTTTCAGGAATTTCTATTTTCATCACACTGTACTAGTTTAAGCAACCAGTCAGTAGCAATAAGTATGGGTTATTGACCAAGCGAGAGGTCAAGATGGCTGGATATTGGCCTTATTACAAGTTCTTTTCGTCTCGGTCCATAAACACTCTCAAAAAAAAAGAGCAAGGCCAATACCCAGCCATCTTGACCGAACAAGCTTAAAGGATTTATTATATGGGATAAGACACCAAAAAGTAGAAAATTTTTCTTGCGGGACAAAGCGCGCAATCCCGAGCGGGCAAGATCACTCCATCTTGCCCGCTCGGGTAGCCAATCACAGCATGGGATTTGGTTCATCTTGCCCGCTCACAGAGCCACCCATATAATAATGATTATTATAACCCTTTTAAGTCCTAAGCGATCAATATTTATGTTCTCCTTCCAGATGAATCCAATTAGAATGTCAAGCAAACAAGTGATAAGGCAAATCAACAGGAAAAAAAATGCTTGTCTTGATTTCACACCAAATTCTCATAACTGTCATAATAGCATTCTGTATGGAAAATGTGTATGGTGATAGCTGGGCTTTAAAGACCCAGTATTGACGATTATGCTTTTTGTGCATCTGTTATTGTTTTGGTTTACTTGATAGCAAGGTTTCTATTGTTTTCTAATGCGCATCCAATGCATCCTGGCCAAGACTGGATCTTTAAGGGTTATACACTATCAGCTAGGTCAAGAAGGTAAGAAAATGACATGTCACAACTCCTCTATTAAATTGCTAAGGCAACATACAACATAAGTTTGCAAGACATCAAAAATCTCACCCAATACTTGAAGTCTTCCTTTGGCGCTGTAGGTACAGTCTGCAGCATCTTGCGGGGGTCAGCATCAGCAAGTGTAGGGTATATTGAGATCAACTATTTGGCCAACCATTCACAACATCCTGGGGATGGGGAGTCTGTGTGCACCCATACACAAGTTGCCACAGTTTTTATAACTTTCGCTCTGTCCACATCAGTTAGGTTTCCACTCTTCAGATTTCCATCTGTAATTTTCCCAAACTTAGAGGGAATAATGAAGCCAGAAGGCAGATCAGGGCTTGTCTTACCTTGCACTGAAACTGGTGCACATGACACTTTTGGGGGAATTGGAGTCGATGTTCTCTTATTTGGAGAGGAACAGAAGACATCAGAAGCATCACCAGATGAAGAGGAGTTTAGTGTCAAGGTTGATTGGAACGAAAGTTCTGATTCATCATCATCAGTGAATGAATCACTCTGAGATGTTGATGGCTTGGGCACTTTAGTAAAGCCAGGAGTCAGGGGATCTGACACGGAGCCATTCAGCTGTGTGAGAAAGTTAAATTTAAGTACAGTTATGCTGTTGATACTACAAGAGTGCATTTATTTATTAGCTATACAATGTTAGAAAATATATTTCTCTAGTTATCTTATTTGGCACACAATATTAGACCACTTATGAAAGAATGAAAAAAAATCAGAATACTGGTTTCTGTGAGCAATAAAATGTGTATGAACAGCACTTAATTTGATGTGCCCAGAATGCTACAATTAGTATTTCCAACCTCACAGATTTCAAAATTTTTCAACCAGACCCCTCCTCCCCCCTTAAGAAAGGGGCTGGATGCCCTCTAGTTAAGCACACCCCCATATTCCAACAACAGGAGCCACTTGCTACAGAAGTTATTGAGAATGCCTGTGTGCAGCTACCTGTTATATATCCTGGCCAACCAATCAAAAACCTATACTGTGAACCCTATGAACAAAATGATCTTTCATATATTCACTCGCAGAATTCTTTCTATGAATACATTAGTCTCCATAACCACTGGTCTAGGGTAACCTACAGTGTAATAACAAAAAGACTAGTGACTTACACAATTATAAATACCTTTCACCATCTCCCGATGGGCCAATCGTGGAAATACCTCCTTAAAGTCACGCTCATCCATTTCAAGGAAGTCATCCCCAGTGATGGTGTTTTCTATTTAGAAGTATGAGAAAACTGCTTAAAAAAAAATATCATGTTCAAAAATTCAAACTTGTTTAAAATGTGCTTTTATAGTGTACAAGTTGTTCCAAATAGAGGACCTTAGAGGTCCAAAGCTCCCATATTAGCTAGTGACATAAGCTTATTTACACTGGAGTATAAAATTGAACAGATTTTGACAGTTAATAATTTTGAACAAAAATTGGACGTATTCAAATAGTCCCCAAATTTGTCACAAAAAACGTCCAACACTCATGCATCATGACTGAAACTTACAGATATGAAAACAGTGTAAAAATAAAGAACGTAAGATGGCTAAGTAAAACCTTCGAATTTCGACGAAACACTTTATCAACCAAATGAAAAAACAGGTTTTCTTGGCCATTCCGATATTTCAATAAATATAATGCGAGAATATATATAAGTTATGGAATTTCTGATTTCATGTAATTTTTGGCGGGAAATTTCCCGCGCTAATATAATTGTACCACGAATTGCTTGAACATTCCCTGCAATTAGAGTATTTCTCCATAATGACAAAAACAATTCTAAAAAATCTCACCTTCAAAAGCCTTGATAACTTCAGAAGGAACTGTAGGAAAGTGTCTTCGGAACCATGAAATAAATTCGCTGCTTTCATCCAAGGTTCTGCATTCTCTTAATGACGTCGACTGAGAAGACATCTTTCAAGAAACATTCGCAGAAACAGGGAAACACCGGACTTAATAAAGCTAAAATGGCAGCAAAGGAGTACAAAGCAGCTGAAAAACGTCGAATATTCTGTATAAAAACTGTGCACAATCGACCGCAAATCTTCACAACTCCCTGACCCGCAAAATGACAAGCGCTGCAAATGTGCCTTCTTCGTTGACGTCATTCTTTTACCCCAAAAGACCAATGAAAAGCCGTGATTTGTAGCATGTGACTTACAGCAGCTGTACAAAATAGAATTACGCTGACCACAAACACTTTGGACACAGAAAAGTTCGAAAATGGCGATGTGGACATGTGGTTTGTGTGTGGGTTTTGCGGCGTTGCTTTTGAGCCAAATGTTGGCCCATATTCGTCAAGTTCACTCTGGTGATAAAGAGTTTGAAATTACCTGCGGTATTTCAAACTGTGAAAAGTCGCACAAGAAGTATGATAGTTTTTATCGGCATGTCAAAAATCGTCATCACGCTTATTTGGATATTCCAGCAACAGACTTGCACATTGGTGAAATTTCAACTGCTTTGAGGCAACCAATTGGAAAAGAGCAGATTTATCAAGAAAGTTATTCAGAAGAATTGGAGGTATGTTTGCTAAAATATGATTTTAAGGATGGATCACAGAATTTATGATCACAGAATTTTTGGGAGGGGTGGGACTGGGTGGGGGGGGGGGTGGGGGGCTGTGGGGAGAGACAACTTTCTGGGGGGCTTTTTAATGAGTGGTTAGTTTTGAAGCTTTATTGTTGTGAACAGTTCTCCAATCAAGTGGTATGAAATTCAGCCAGAACTGATCACGTCACTGTCATCGCAATTTTACCTTTTGACTTAAAAAAATGCTTGGAATTTTTGCAAAATGTTCTAATACATGTTTAGAATAATACATTACACTTCTATAGACCCTGAATCAATGTTTGATGTAAATATAAAATTATCACCTACAGGAATCTGATCCACCTGTATATGAAGAGACCCCTCTAACAGCTCCAACAACAGGTTTCGATGAGTCTTTGTCTGAAACCATGGATACAGTTCAAGAAGAAGACATAGAATGTTATGACAAGAAGAAAGAAGCAGCACTTTTTCTTTTACAACTAAAGGAAAAAGCGAAAATTCCACAATCTGTGATTGATGACGTTGTAGAGGGTACAACAACTATTTTAAAGAAATCTATTCAGCATTTAAAAAGAAAGGTAATGGAATTTCTAAACTCAGAAGGACAGGATGATCTTACAGCATCACAGAGTTTTCAGGATATATGGCAAGATGAAACCACACCATTTGAAGGACTAGAAACCCAACACCACCAAGAGGAACATATGAAGCAGTCATTTCCCTATGTGGTATGTGTTAGAGGTTACCCCTTATCTCACCATGTCATTGTATATATTATCATCACTAGTCTTGTAGGTAATAACTGGGGCAAAAAATGTTTCTGAAAGACACTCATCAATGTCTGTAAAACTCCCTCTACGTTTGTAATCGTAATCATAGCAAGGAATTTTTTCTCCAAGTATAACTTGCTATAAATAAATGAGAATATGGGGGAAGGGGTTAAAAGCTGTAACTGGAAGGGAGAAGGGGAAGACAGTCAAGATTTTATGGTGCATGCTCAGCTTTTTTTTCTTTTTTTCAGGAGCCCAAATGTGTAGTTCTAGGAAAAACACTTAAACCTGTGGCACATGGAGCCAAGCGTAGAATCAAAGAGATGTCAGACTGCTTTTATTACATTCCAATTCTAGAAACATTGACAGTGTTGCTAAACAACAAAAAGACACTAGAGGAAGTTCTAAAAGAACCACAGTATAGAAATGATGGAAAACTTGGAGACTTTATTGATGGTGTTGTGTTTTCTAATCATGAGGTATTTTCCAATGATGCACAGGCTCTACAAATTATCCTCTACTATGATGACTGTGACCTCTGTAACAGTGCTGGGAGTCACGTGACCAAACATAAAATAGCATTCTTCTATTTTACCTTGGGAAATTTTAGGCAGGAGGTACACTCCAAACTGGATGCCATTTTCCACTTAGCTGTTGTTAAAACTGCCCATCTTAAGAAATATGGATTCGATGAAGTATTGAAGCCTCTTCTGAATGACTTGAAGATACTTGAGGATGGATACTACTTCACTGCATGTAGGCAACAGTAACATTCCTATTACGGGTGCTCTTTCAGTGTTTTGTGGTGATACTCCAGCTTCTAACCTTGCCGGGGGCTTTAAAGAAGGTGTTTCACTTGCCATGAAATGTTGTAGGCATTGTGAAGCCAATCAAGATGACATTCAAAAAACAGTCCATGAAGAAGAATGCATTCTAAGAACTGAGGCTTGTTTAGCGAGTCAGTATGAAAGGAAGGAAAACAATCCAGCTCTCACAAAACATTATTTGGTGAACTATGGTTTGGATAGGAGAAGCATTTTGAGTAAAATTCCAGGATTTAAAATTACTGAACAATTACCGCAAGATTGATGCACATCCTTCTGGAGGGTGTCATACCATATGTTGTCAAATGTATGCTTCAGTATTATATTGCTAAGGGTTCAATAACTGTTGATGTTATAAACTCACGGTTAATGGAGTTCCGATATGGATATTCACAGGTCAAAGACAAACCAGAACCAATTAATTCTGAATCTTTGACTGATAAACCAGGAAAGCACATTGCAAAAGATGCTGCAAAGATGTGGATGCTTTTTCGAGTTCTGCCTTTTATTCTCCATGACATCATTGATGAAAGTCACAAGCCCTTTGAAGTATTTCAGCTACTTATGAAGATATCCAGTCTACTGCTGGCTCCAGTATTAAGCTGTGAATCTGTCTCATTACTACAGAGAATGACTGCTAAATTTCTGACAAATTTTAAGAATGTTTTCCATAAGCAGATAACTCCAAAAATGCATTACTTGGTCCACTGTCCAAGACTTATACTACTATGTGGACCTTTAGTTAGGCTTTGGAACATGCGATTTGAGGCAAAGCACAAGGATTTTAAAAGAATTGCAAAAAATGCAAGTTTTAAAAACATATCCCTTTCACTTGCAAAGAGTGAACAACGATCAATGATGGCAAAGTTTGCTGACCCAGATAGCCATGGCCTATTCAATAACCTAGCAAAAGGGCCCTTGACACCCCTCACAGGGGAAAAGTATAATTTTGCCAAACAACAGTTTTGCCTGATTTATCAAGTTTCTGATGAATTGATTGTTAACATTTGCGACTGTAAATGGATAACTCTTTATGGCACAAAGTACATCCCTAATGAGTGTAGTTTATTGTTACGAGCAGAAAATGAGAAGCCTGTCTTTGGTGATCTTCTTGGTCTTTGGATAGTAAATGGTACCGATGTAATTTTTAGAGTTGCTGAACTTGAAACAGTTACCTTCAGTGATACTCTTAATTCATATTAAATTGACAAACTAGGACAGGCCATGTCTGCATTGTACATTACCCCTGACAGCCTTCTAAGCCATGAAGTACTGCACAAGTGGGAACTTGATCAAAAAATGTACATTAACACTAAGTATGATGTGACTGACTTATGTGATTCACTGTAACTGTTACCTACATGTAGTTTGTTATTTGAGTTGGAATGACTTTGTTGTTAATGTATGGTTTCAAAGTGTTTGCTACTCTAACCAAGGCCAGCAGACAATAGTTTCTGTGAATTGTGGAGGTTTACAATAGTTTTCTAACAAACTATCCAAAATGACCACAAATCTGTTGCCTTTAATTTGTAATGTACAACTTGATTACAAGGATAATTGGTTGGAAAACTATTGTTAAACTCCACCATTTTTATTTGCTAAATCTGTGGAACATTTTATTGGGCGGCCTTGGTAACAACACTGTGAATTTCTCAAGCAAAACTTCTCTTGAAAGTCATTGTTGGGTTGTGGATTTGAAATGACTGTCATTAAAGATTTAAATTTTGAAAGGTTACTCTGAATATTACACTTTGAAAAACTTTAATTACCTTACATTAAGGGAATTACTTACTACAATTAAAAACAGGTTTAATAGTAATCACTCAATTTAAGGCTATGAATATATCATCACCCTTTTTGAGGACCTTTTATTTCTATATTCTCTTTCTAAGGGAGTAACAATTGCTTTAAGGGTCATAATGAGAAATGTACCTTTATTTGAGTAACACATATATGATATTCTCTTAATTTAAGTATAATTTAAACAGCCTAACACTTTTTCTAAGGCAAATTAGATTATGCTCTGTTTATAACTAGGTTACACACCTTGCCACAAGTATTCAAACCCTTACTTTAATTATTCTTAACCTTATTTCAAAGTAATATCCCTTTCTACAAGTGATTAAGGAACTGTTGCTTCTTAAATCAAGAGTCCTAATTTTCGCATTTTCTTAATTTAAGTGTAATTTAAACAGCCTAACACTTTTTCTAAGTTGAATTAGATAATGCTCTGTTGATAATAAGGTTACATACCTTTCCACAAGTCTTGAAACCCTTCCTTTAATTGTTCTAAACCTTATTTCAAGGTAATATTCCTCTTTATAAGTGAGTAAGGAAATGCTCCTTCTCAAATCGAGAGTCCTTTTTTTTTGCAGTGATCGGACGTTAAAAATACGACGAGCGACAAGATAACCACAGTAAAATGGTCTTTGGATCTTTCTTCAACTGTAAATGAGGTTAGAGCATTTGGAAATGTGTGCCCATGTACATTTTCCGACCTCATATGGCTTGAATCATATCAAAGTATGCGTGTGGCTCGCAACTGGAATGTTGACTCCAAAAGGTCAAATAATTGCATTTTAACGGACTTTGAAAAGATTTCGTATCGCTCTCAATCATTTGCCCAAAGAAATTTTTACACTTATATTAAAACATCTTTTGGTAATTCTACCGCCCAAAGCTTAATCCATTTGAAGGTTTAGCACATGCTGAAAATTAACTTTACTCTCAAAGTACTTTTACTGTAGAGAAATGTATGCTTTCGAAATTAAATTATTTTACACGCAAAGAGGAACGCAGTGTTTACAAAAATAGTTATGTGAGGTCTTATGAGGTTGAAAAAAAAGATTTGAGTGTTAAAAAGACGAGATTGTGATTCGTTTTTGAATGCGAAGCCCTCAAACTTGTGCAATAATTTGCTGCCAAAAATGACGATTTTAACGGAATTTGTTATTTGTATTTTTCTCTGAAATAAAAAGATATTTTGCCAAAAAAAGCATCCAGTGATTTTAGTTATAGTCTAGCCTATCTAATATTAAAATATGAAAGAAATCGAATTTTTCACCCTTGCCGCAAAATTTAGAATTTGTCTGATTTTTACAGACAAGCGCTCTTAAATGTCTCAATCCCTGAATCTCCCAAAAAATATTACTTCTTTTTATTTTTGGTGCGAAATACAAGTCCTTCTTTATTTACAAATGAAAAGTGCAAGTCACACTTCAACAATAACAGCTAATACTTGTTGTTCTCCTCTGTCTGTCAGCTATCGACAAAATTGTTTTACATTTCAGACAGTGCATAACCATTTGTGGACCAGAGTTCCAACGCACCTCTGTAATCGCATATAGTTGCTTCTGTCTCTTGTACAAATGTTTCTCCTTTATGAGACGCACTCTCCTCTGTTGGCACCACTGCTTTAAGTTCAGTGGAAACTACAGACTGAGGAATCGAGATGGCGGTTCTAGAACGTGTTGCTGAACGCTTGTTACGGTTAAGCTTTGTTGATTTAGGTACTGATACACTGTGATCATTTATGTATCTCTTATACTTCCTAATGTGGTATCCTTCTTTCATAAAATGAGTGTAAAAGACGATTTGTAATCGCATTCAAAATTGTGATTGGCTTGTGTTATTTCTCACCCTTGCCATGAACACAACTTAAGTGGGTTTTGAGTCTTTGTTTCTTCGACAAATTTCGGCCACAAATCTTGCATTTTAGCACGATCGATTCTTTTCGGTTATTTCTACATAGAGTGAGCTCACATCCGTTATTTATATCACCGTCAGAACATGGATCCAATGTATCCATCATCCAAAGGGAGAGAACCGGTCGGAGAAGTCAAAATAAAGTTATGCGCTTCTCTTGCAAGCTAGCGGTTCACTTTACTAGCCAATGACAAGTCCTAAAAGATCCACGTGATCATGTCGGAAACAAAGAAGACTCCATTGGCGCTCATCTTTGAATGTACTTTTCATCGATTGATCGCTCGTGTTAAGTTATTTCTTTTCTCAACTGTTTTGCCTAGTATAACATTTCTAAAGAAAGGTTTTACTGTGGTTCAATGGGAAAACGAGAACAGCGTGAGTGTTGTAAATGAAAAGAAAGTCGTTGGCGCCGTGGAGTTAAAAGAAGGGACAACAGTTGACATATTGACTGGTACAAACAAGGGTCGAGTGGCCATTTATAAAGCTACGATTTTTAAAGTTTGTGGTGAGTAAAAATTGCGATATTCGTTAAGTGATCAGAATCTTATCGAAGAATAGATATAACTGCTTGAATTAAGCTTACATAACACTCGGTGCAACTGAAACTAGAATAATAATTCTGAGAATCGAATCGGTCACTTACATGCCGCAGTTTCTTAAGCTTATGCTTTACAATGAAATCTATCAGTAAGGTTTCAAGATTACTTTAGTCACGTTTTGGAAACATTCAAGATTCAGAATACAAACTGTGAATAAACAAACCTTATTACATAAAGAGGCCCTCCTTGGTAAAAACAAAATACTGTATTCAGCCCTTTTTCAGTAAAATCTATGGGAGAGATGTACTAACTCCAATATAAAAGTCATTCAATATAACAGAGATTTCCCAATCCCAGTGCACTTTGTTAAATTGAGATTCCAATGAATGCCCTTTTCCTTATAGCTATCTAAGGCCTTGTCTGAGCTTTTAATATATATTTATATATGTGTATATATATATTTTTTCAAATTCAGATGTCATGGAACCCAGATATAAAATGGTCGAGCTTCTTGTAGACAACCTCATTCAACACTAACAGGGAAAGCTGTGAGCCTAGGAAAAAAAGATAAACAGCAGCTAAGTCTGCAGTTTAGGATAACTTCATTCTGATTTATTGTTACAGTTACAACAAGACTTTAGTTAAAAAAAATCAATTATATTTAACTGTAATTAACCCCTTTACTCTCAAGAGTGCTAGGTCAAAATTTGAGAAGAAATCTTTGAGTTTCAATGTGCAGAATCAACAAAAACAAAGAGTAAAGCATGAAAGTGCTGCTTGACAGCTCACATTTGATGTTTACACACAAGAGTTTTATTCAAATAAGTTACAACCACATAAAATCAAGTCAAAGCCTGTCTCTGGGAGTGAAAGGGTTAAATACCATTTGCATCATCATCCAAAATTAAGTGATTCATTTAAGACTATTTTTAGACCAATATTATTTATTGCAGTGAATATAATTTAAGATATTGTATTTTATGGAAAAGAATCGTCAGATTTAATTCACAATTTGTGTCTAACCAAATTTAATGATTGATTAGGACTATTTTACTTAAGTAGCTGTAATTGAGGATTAATTCATATGAAGTTTTCGAGAAAAGAAAAATAAATCAAATTCCATCCTAATATTACTACATGTTGATGTTAATATACAATCAAAAATATTTTACACATAAACCTTAATTAAGCTTGTGTTGTGTCGTGTAGACTCAGTCAAGTTACTTCTTTCATTGCTATTGCTCAACTGAATTTTATTAAAGAATCAACAAGCTATATTCACAATACAGTCTGACTAGGAATCAGTAATACTACTTTTACATAGGAATGTACTTTTACAATCATGTACCGATCGTGTCTTACAGGATATAGCGTGACTATAGTAACGCTTAGGTAACGCAATACACTACACTTGTAAATAAATTTCATTGAATACTTGAATTTTAGCTGGGATTTTTCAATTTATTTTATATTTGTAGCCTCAAATTTTTGCTTAAAATTCCCAATAATTCTCAAACATTCCTAGAAATTCCTAGATGATGACGATGTAATTGTCAGAGTTATTTACTGAATTTTGAGCAGTTGGCTTAATCAAATAAAATGTTATTTTTGCAGCTCATAGGCTGCAGCTAGGATAACCCTAGGAATTCCAAAATCCATTTTGCAAGGGCATTACAAAACTTAATTGCATGCGGGATGGACAGGCAATGGAGCAATCTGATTGTTTGATTTTAGTTATTGGCCCTGACATGTTTAGAGAATTTAAATTATATCATTATCATTAAGATCATTAGCGTTCTTGATTTTAGGCAAGCAGCAGGAAAATGTGAAAAAGGAGCAGATAAAATTGAAAAAGAACGCTTCGTTTTTAAACCATTCTAGCATTCTCTAACCACTATAAATGAAATGAACTGACCTGAGACATCCAGAAGTCTGAACAGCTTTACTGTTGCGGTTCTGCACCTATGGCCATAGCTAACAGTTGCCTCGTCTGCATACAAAGGAGAAAATGCCCCATCCTATTAAAATAAAGAAAGCAAGAAGTAGATAAAAGTACAGTTTAACCAGATATGTTACACTAAAAGTAGCTAGAATACAACTGGCCCCAAAATATTCATACACACCTTCCATTGCTCAAGTACATGAAACTTGTTTCGTTTGACATGTAGAGCTCGTGCACATCCAACACAAAAGTACTGGCGAGGGCCACAGTATTCACATCGTGTTGTAGCGATACTCTTTTGACAGTTCACACAGTTCACATTGTCTGGGAGATGCTGTTCTTCAATGTACGAATTCAGCAACTTTTCCCGTACCTTTTCCCAGTTAACAGAGATACTCAAAACGCGATTTTGCTGTTGAGTTGAGAGTTCCTGCTTGTCGAGATCGCCAAGAGGGACATCTTGTTCTAATGGACTGTTGGTGTCCTGACTATTTTCCTCCGTACTCTTATGAGGCTGCTTCCCAAGATCCACTCTCAGTGGAATCGATACGGTGGTTTTCTTTCCATCGCGCCCAATATTCTTCACATCTGAGAAAACGGGCTTTAAGCGACGCATTTCGTAACGATCACCCTGGCTCGTCCACTGAAGAGTGAAGGATTTGATTGGTCGAAATATTTATGCATATTTAATGACCTACTGGGAAGACTTAGATGATCATTTAGGACGGCTTGAACTCAACGATTTAAATTTAGATTATGTGGGTGTTAGCCATTTAGATGGTGTAAGTAGGGTGAACCAACAGCCCAAGCAAAAAGTATTATTCACCTGTGTAGTATATACTCAAAACCGCAGTAAGATGGGTAGATGGAGTAGGGCTATGGAGCACGAAGAGAAAGTCTAAGCAGACGAAAGAAGCCTATTAAGTCCAGCAATTCTTCAGGAAAATTCTTATCTTTACCTTCTAAAATCGTAGCTCTAAGATTCTTGAGAACCCCACCTGTGATGCTACCCTTGAAAACACGTAGCTATTCACATTCCTAGCATGGGTGGATAAACGGAACCTCAACCCACCCCTCCCCCCTCCCCATGGCTCTTTTTCGTAAATGATTGTAATATATGCTATCGTCAGCAGCGAACTCCTACTAAAACATCTAAGTTGTCGCAGTTTTTTTAGATCTGGGGTGAAGTCAAAATATCAGGGCTTACTGACTTTTCAAATCCGGCACAAGGTCTTTAAAGAGGGGAGGAAATTTATCCTTACTCGCCTTCGCTTCGGTGAATATCTCGTGTTAGCTTCATTAAGTATCTCAGATTGAACATAACAGGAATGCGTAGCGACAACGCCCTCCCCGTGCCCGTCTCTCCTAGGTTGATCCTTATTTCCAGGATTTTTCCACGGCTTGTTTTTCCCGGTTTTCCTTACTCCTCAAAAACCAGCACTCTAAATTCGAGTTGCAAATGCCACCTTCTAAAAACATTTTTATTTCACATCTTGCATGTCACCCAGTTGAGGGTCTCCATGGGATTAACCGTTAGCCGTACTGTATATCGGTAAAAAAAACTAGCTGTTAGGCGTAAAAATTGAACAATTTTAACCCTTAGTTGTAGAAAAAAATTAACCATAAAAATCTTTCCTTCCCAAAAAGTGTTATTTTGTGTTATTCTGGGTTAAGCGCAGAAGAAAAATGGCCAAAATTTTAACCGTTAGCCGTAAAAAGTTCTCCTCGGTCGGCCCTCCTCGGTTTTAAGAAAGTTTCGGTTTTTTGAACAGGCTGTTTTAGTTAAGTTTGCAGTCGTGGAAAAAAAAGTCATCGATATTTTCTACACTCGTGAAACTGTACCGACCTAGGGTACCTTCTATGATAAGGACGCTTTCGATAAACAGATTGAAGCACCATCTCCTAAAGTGATAGATAATTTCTCTTTTCTTGCCTCCAACGATTTTTGACGAAACATCATATCTGTCTCATTACATGCAAAAGGAGCGCGTTGCGTGACATCCTAAGGAACGGCTACCAATGAAACTTGCAGTTATAAGATCTGAAAATATCGAGGTTTATATCTCAAATAATAACTCTATCCAAGGAAATGGGCAAAAGTTGAACGAATTAGACATCGGTGCGCTCACTACTTCAAACGACGAGAGGTGACAAAACTTCATATCTATCGCACAACGCCCTAAAGAAGTGCGTCGCGTGACATCCTCAGGAACGGCTGCCTATGATCGATACTAGCAGTTATAGAGTCAGAAAATATCGAGATTCATCTCTCATTCAATAAACCTATTCAAAGGAGTGGGCAAAAGTTATAAAGCAAATAAGACTTGGGCACGCTCACTACCTTAAACGACAAGAAATGGGTTATGCTGGTTGATGCAGAAATTTTCTTCCCTTTGTTATTGGTTTCCTCTTCCATTCTAACAAAATGCCAGCGACTTGTTTCATTGTTTGACATTCAAATGTTAGTTTATTGTATTTAGAAAATAGGTAAACAATTTAATCGGAGAAACTAAATGAAATAGCTTGGCTCCAACTTTCTAGCTTGTTCTGAGCTTCTTTTAATGCTTTGTGCGCTAGTAACTAAAATTAATGTAAAACTCGTTTTGCCTTTGGACGATTAGTTTAAACAAAATAATTAAAATGCATCGTTCTGCTTGTAAAAATAACACAATTTATCGCGTTCAAAATTAACTGATATCAGAATTAAATCCTGGCCATTACGACCAAAATCTGTCATTTTAAGTCCAGATAAACCAAATTCTGATCGGCAGAAACCAAGTTTAGGTACCAATGACTGGGTACAAATCCTCGAAAAGTCACAATTTCCATCTGACATAAACTAAGATAATCGAGCAATCAGACAACTGATTATTCTCTAATTTCCATGGAAATTCTCTACACACGCACATGGCTGTAACAGCTTTACATCACTCATGAGACAAAAACCGATTAAGAAAAATTTGTAAAAAAACTTTGGAAAACGTTTTCAAGACGTTTCAACTTCGACGTAAACGCAAAGCCTTAATCCTCTTAGTAGCTAATACTTAGATTAAAAAAAAAACGTTTTACATAGCTAGTCATGATAATTCCAAGACATCATATAAATACAAATAAAAAATAAAAAAAAGAGTTGTTCAGGCAGGAAATCAAAGGTGAAGCTCGTAAAAGCAGTTCAGACAAGCAAAAAGTCAACTTTTGAATCAATTGACATTCGTTCTCTTGTTAAACTTGACTTTGGCCGTCTTTTGGTTCTTCCTGCTTTGAAAAGAAGACTCTTGACAAATATTTAATCGGTAGCTTACTGGTTTATGGTCCAAATATCAGCGTTTGCGGGTATTCTAAAACTCCTTGGGGCTCCAATGCTCACTGCCTTAACTGAAAAATAAAAGAATCTAAGTTTAGGGAGGATAGTTGAGTTGCCATGAAATATTTCTTAGCACATGAAACAATACATTGCACAACAGGATTGTCTTAAAAGAAATTTGCTATTTTACTCCCATCATGTTTCCAAAAATGAATGTTATCATCGTAAACGTGTCCTCTTGATTGTACTGCATCTCAATTTGCCGGAGCAAAACATAAATTTGTAACCCAACTGAAACATATAAGCAATAATTATGATTTAATGTAACTTTGTATTGAATGGAGTGTGTAAACAGAATAAAACAGAATATTTACTTACTTCAGCTTCGAAATATCTTTGAAATCCAGGTTGACGTCGTCACCAATGAGTACAAATGGTGCCCAGTAAGTCACCTTCTTGAACTTTTCAATTTCTCTCATACACTTCATGGCCTGATTGAGAGCTTCACTTGCCTTCTTGCCTTTAGCAAGTGCATCGTAGAAGAAACTCATGAACTCCAGGGTTCCCTCGTCGTCAAGCGCCCACAAGGTTGCCACAACAGATCTAGCACCGGCAGCTAAAAGTGCACGCGCCATGCCGACTACACCCTCGGCCATGACCTCCCCACGAGCAGTGTGACAGCAGCTAAGTATAACCAGACGTGCTCGCAACCCAGCTTCTATCACATCTTTCATCGTCAGTAGATAGTCTTTCTCTAGCGGCTGAGGGTTTTCTCTTGTGGTGTTTGGTGCCAGGATAACTTCTCCAGTTTCCATTTTACCGTGCGCTGCAATATGAACTAACGCCACTGATGATATTCGTTTTAACACTTCATGTTTTGTTGCCACTTCTCCGGTGAGGGGGGAAACATTTAGGATACGTCCGATCATCTCCACTTCTTTCCTTGCTCCTGGAAGTTGGTTTAAAAGTTTTCCCTGATAGAAGATATGTTTGAAGCATGGGTCACCGACAAGCAATGCACCAGCCTTCATGTGAAAGTCAGCTGGACTATCATGAATTAGTTGCAACGTCGTCAGAGAGGGAAGCACACGAATTCTGAAAGAATCACTTAGATATGATGAGTTGGAGTCCTGTAACGCTGCAAAAGGTACAAGGCAAAATGGCCCCTCAGGAACGAATGTGATCTCGTCGTTGCCTTCGATCAGGTCAGCAATAGGAGCAACGATGATGTCATGCAGCTTCTTTAAAGCACTTGATTGGGAGTGCCTCACATCAACTCGGATCACATCATTGGCCACTTTCTCTTCTGCTGGCAAATCAGGAGGAAGATTTTTGATTTTAACAGTATCTCTTTCATGGATCTCCTTCAGAGCAGTTTTGTTCAGCTGCCGGATGAAACATTCCAATTCACCTTCAAACTTATAATCGTTGACGTGTACCCGTCTCATCTGGATGTTATCTTCGCTGAGGCGAACCCAGAAGTAAACGCATGGTCCATTAATAGCTATGAAGACTGTGCTTAATGGAACCCAACTCAGAGAATCAAACGATGGGCTGTGCGTTGAATAATCTGAAGAATAAGCGTTCCCCAAAATAACATAGCTTCTTCCCTCTTCAGCCTTGTCTCCCACTTCTTTAGCAATTTCTAGATGAGGTTGATAATACTGGATGGCTGTTTTGAACTGTCCTAGACCGTCCAAAGCGGTGCCGAGATTGCAATAACTTGCTCCCTCTCCGGCCTTGTCTCTCACTTTTTTATAAATTTCTAGATGACGTTGATAGTACTGGATGGCTGTTTTAAACTGTCCTAGACCGTCATACGCGTTGGAGAGATTGCAATAACTTGCTCTCTCTCCGGCCTCGTCTCCCACTTCTTTAGCAATTTCTAGATGACGTTGATGGTACTTGATCGCTGTTTTGAACTGTCTTAGACCTTGATAAGCGTTGCCGAGATTGCAATAACCTGCTCCCTCTCCAGCCTTGTCTTCCACTTCTTTAGCAATTTCTAGATGACATTGATAATACTGGATGGCTTTTTTGAACTGTCCTTGACCTTTATAAGCGTTGCCGAGATTGCCATAACTTTTTCCCTCTCCGGCCTTGTCTCCCACTTCTTTAGCGATTTCTAGATGACGTTGATGGTACTGGATGGCTGTTTTGAACTGTCCTAGACCGTCATAAGCGTTGCCGAGATTGCAATAACTTACTCCCTCTCCAACCTTGTCTCCCACTTCTTTAGCAATTTCTAGATGAAGTTGATGGTACTGGATGGCTGTTTTGAACTGTCGTAGACCGTCATAAGTGTTGCCGAG